GGAGCTGAGATCCTACACATAGGGGAGCTCCAGTAACAGCAGTAAGTACTACAACTGCACAGGCAACCAACATGCCCAACTACTACGACATGTCAGGAGAACCAGCAGCAGCATCAGCACAACCAACTACAGGAGCAGACAACGGGCCCACAGCAGAAGAGACAATAGGAGCCACAACTACGGGAACAACACAGGAGCAGGAAGACGTCCAAAGGCTACAAAAATACAAACTGCCACCGCCGTTCTTCACTGGTGACTACTCACAGTATGAAGAGTGGCTGTTCAAACTACAAGCATATCTCGGACTTATCGACCGGGACTTCGACATGGTGCTACAACTAGCACAAGCAGCTACAAGACAAATTGAAGATGCAGACATCAGAGCCCACATACGCGACCCTACACAGGCAGCAAAAGCAGTAGACCTCACACGAGATCTACACTACATCCTCATCAACATCTGCCAAGGAGCAGCAGCTACAGTGGTTAGACAAAACCGCTACAATGCCAATGGATGTGAAACACTACGGCTCTTGCACAACAGGTTCAGCCTACCAGTAGGAACACGCAGTGTTGGCTACCTCACCAAACTACTGGAACCTACATCCAATGAAGCACAATTTGAAGAACAATTCCTACAGTGGGAATACGACATCAACCGCTACGAGAAAGACAACGGCACAGCACTACCAGATGGAGTAAAGATTGCAATACTACTCAACAAGACCAAAGGAGCACTTCAACAGCATCTCCAACTACGTGCTGGACAGATCACGAACTACAACGAGATCAAAGTTGTCATCCTGGACTACTACAAAACCATCTCTGCATTCTCAAGAGCGAGCTCAGCAGCTGGCACAAACTACAAGGGTGGGACAGCACCGATGGACGTGGACAACATTTGGAGAAAAGGAAGAAACTACAAAGGCAAAGGCAAATATGGAGGGAAAGGACTCTACAAAGGAAACAAAGGAAAAGCTAAGTACAGAAGCAAAGGCCACTACAAAGGATTCGACAAAGGCAGCAAAGGAAAGAGGATACAACAAGAACAAAGGAAAAGGCTACTCAGGATCCAAAGGACATGGATCAAGCAAAGGCTACAAAGGCCAAGGAAACTACAGCAAATCAAAAGGAAAAGGAAACAACAATTACACAACATGCCATCGATGTGGCAAACCAGGCCACTGGGCACAAGACTGCAGAGTGCCAGTATGGCACATAGAAGAAGGAGAAGAACTACATCCACTAGAACAAGAACAAGCAGATCACGACAACAATGATGAACTACCTCAGGATGTGAACGACACTTGGGACTGGTACTACGAAGGAGAAGAAGGACAACACGAGGTGAACTACATGGAGGAGAACTGGAACGACTACGACTATGACAACAGCTGGGATTGGAATGACGACAGCTATGAGGACACTGCAAACTACATTGGAGGCATCAACGAGTCACACCTCACAATTGGACACATCAGACAAGCAAACTCACGACTACACAAGCACAAATCCAAATCACTACTTGGGAAGAGAACAACACACACAACATCATGGAACGACCACAGCAAGAGCTTTCAGCAATTCCTACAAGAAGACAACACACAGCCACACTTTGATATAGCAGCAGCCAGACAACAACAAAGGAACAAGAAGATTTGAGAACACTATCACACACTACATCATGTACTCCAACTTCAAGTCATACCACCACCTGCTGATCGACTCAGGAGTGTCTACACACGTTTGCCCGAAGGACTACGCACCAGACCTACCGCTACGACCTTGTGGAGAATCGGTTCCACAACTCTACACGGTTACCAACAAGAAGATTCCTGTCTACGGCATCAAGTACGTTCCCTACAAGCAGGACAAATTCAGGATCATGATACCCTACTACGTTTGTGATGTGAAGTATCCAATCCTCAGCGCATCAAGACTACTTGATAGAGGATATGGACTTGACTTCACTCCACGACACTGCACCATCACACATGGACAACAACAAGCACACCTCATCAGACACTCAGGACTTTTCTACCTACGAGCAGAGAAGATCGACATCCCTGCAGGATTCGACATCTACCCAATGACTACAGACAATGGAAAATCCATTGCTGTGATTCAACCTACAGAGAAAACAGTACAACAACAAGAACAAATTGCACCACTCACTCACACAGACCAAGGACTACGACAGATCCTTGGTGGAAACACTGACTACTGGAAGCTTGATGGTGACTACGCCATCAGAGTACACAAACGACTACGCAAAGCATTATTCACACCACACAACAGCGGTTGCCCAATACCTGAAGGAGAACTAGATGATTGGCGACTAACCATCATCAACAGACAAGGGCAAGAGCAAGAACAACTACAAGAGAACCCAACACAACTTTCCAAGCAAGAACTACAACGAAGACTAGAAGGTGACAACTGGACTGGACAAACCAGATTCAGAAGAAAGATAACACCTACACGCAGAGCAACATCAAAGACAACACCAACAAGGCAGAGCTCACAACCACAACGGCTAATGGACACACCACCAACCAGATCAAAGATCCAACTACGAGCACCACAAAAGATATGGAGACCCAAAGCAGCACCTTCTACAAATCTTGACACCACACAACCCAAGGAGACAATACACAGACCACTCACAGCACAGGAGGACAACCAAGACTACTGGGAAAGACAAGGTGAACACTGGATAAGACACCACACATCACTTAGAACAACTCTATTCACTCCAACAGATGGACCAGGACATCCACCAATCAGCACACTCGAACCTCACAGAACTACAATCACTCACAACAACTTTGGAGAAGTTTCCCAACGCAAAGATGACTGGACAGTCATGGGCAACGCAGCACTACCAGTTCAATGGAAAGGAACAACAAGGTTCACCGTGAAGAAAGACTACGAGCACATCCAGGAGAACCACGATGAGGAACAACAACACGAGCATCATGAAGCACACAGAGCAATAGGACTACGACAACCTCAGCAGCCCACTCCACAACAAATAGCAGAACACAACTTGACACACCTACCATACAGAAATTGGTGTCCAATTTGCGTTCAAGGCAAAGGACGCCAGGACAACTACAAGAAACAACAATCCCGACAACCCATCATCCAAGTGGATTTTGCCTACATCAAATCACAACAAGGTCCGAAGACCATACCAGTCTTAACAGCAGTTGATGTTACTACACAACTGTGCATGGCGGTATTGGTTCCGGACAAACCATCAATGATGGACTACATGATCAACAACCTACAAGCATTCATCTTTGAATGCGGAAGAACACAAGGCATACTACAAAGCGACAACGAAGACACACTCAATGCACTACTAAAAGCAACAGCATCAAGTCGGCTCAATGACTGTACGACATTCACCATCCTACAGCAGCAACAGTCAAGGAAGCGTTGAGCGACTACATAGAACACTTCTCGGACAAATCCGCGTTGTCAAAGCTCAGGTTGAAAGCAACTACAGCATGACGATGTCCACAAAGCACTGTCTACTACCTTGGATAGTACGACACGCAGCATGGACGGTAAATCGCTACGTC